TACCCGGTTCCCGGTTCCCGGCCCCCCGCGCTCACCGGCCCGGCCCGGCGCGGCCCCCACGTGTCTCCCCGGAAGCCGCGTCCCGCACATGCCCGGGCACGTCCCGCCGCGGCCCCGCCCCCGAGCGCTCCCATTGGACGCGTCTGGGACTAGATTTGCATAAAGGGGGCGGAGCGCTGCCTCCGGCTGTAACGCGAGCCCTCCCCTTTAAGGCCACCCTCCCCTATAGGGCCGCCTTATCCTCCCCTATAGGGCTGCCGTATCCTCCCCTCCAGGGCCGCCTTATCCTCCCCTCCTCTTCCCTTCCCTATAGGGCCCCTCTCGCCTTCGCGCGTGGGTCCCGGACCCTCCTCCCTGCACGAGCCGCGGGGCAGGAGGCTGTGCCCCTGCTGTGGGACAGCGGTGCTCTCTGCAATGGCCCTCGCTATAGGGATTGTCTCATAGGGACCCTCGCTATAGGGCTCCCCTTGGTTGGATCTGTGGGGAGGGATGGAGGAGACGTAGCTGGGGGTATCTCGGAAGCCTTCAGGGTGGGTCCCGTTCCGTCATGAGGGAAGCGCCCGCCCTGTCCCCGTGTCCCGGCTCCTTCCCGCGGGCAGGCCGGCCTTGTCCCTGGCATGGACAGAGCCGCTGGGACCCCGTCTGGACCCGTCCTGCCCGGTTCCCAAGCGGATGGGCCGAGCACGGCCCCGGGGCTGGCGTCGCACGTGTCCCCCCGTGCCAAGCGTGCAGGCCGAGCGCTGCTGTGGTCACCGTTTCCCCTTAACCCACCTGTGTAGAATTAAATAATTGCCCCTCAATTCAGTTTTACCTCAGTCTTTTCCATTTTTCTTCTGGCTGGCAAACTTCTGGGTCTGGAAGGGGCCTCACGGATACGACGGCCCTTCCTCAGGCTGAAATGATGCAAGTGCAAAGTGAAAAGACACTTTCCCTGCCCCTTGGCTCCTGCTCAGCAGCAGCCAGCGGGTTCGTAGCATTTTGTGGCCTTTCCACGGAGCTGCCTGTCTCCAGTATGGCAGGGAAAGTGGAGGGCGGCACCGGGAAGGTCGCGCCAGGTTTTCCAATGAGCAGAGCCCCTCAGGTTCCTGTTAACAGGGGCTTGTGCTGCCCAGGGTGTTTCTGACCCATGGGCAAGACAGTGATTTGAGTGCAATCATGGTCCTCCTGAATGGGGTTTCCTGCGCGCTGTTACCACGTCCTCTTGGTCCACCTTGGTTCCCCAAGGTGTGCAGGACCTGTTTCCTATAGAAAATTCCCCTTTGTCAAGTCACCTCTGGAAACCCAGAATGGTTTTCAGAATGGGAAATGGTTTAGCAGTTGGTCCAAATATCCCCTTAGCTTCCCTTGAACTGTTGCAGTGTTGGTGACTTCCCTGCACCTCTTACAGCGTCTTTGCCACCAATGAGTTGGTCTTGAGGGCTGCAGCCTTTCCCCACGCCTGGGAGATCCATCTGGGATCCAGGATGCGGAGTCATGGGCTGCTCTTCCTCGCATGCAGCAGAGGGACTGGGATTTCCCTGAGCTTCCCAGAGACCTGGGCGAGAGCAGGAGCAGGATAAGAGCTGCAGCCAGAATCTGCCCATAGAAACTTACCTAAAAGCTCTAAAATCCCCCGCTGGGCCGTGGGGATGAGCGAGGCTGGTGTCCCCTCCGGCGCCGCGCTCCTGGTTGGCCACCGCTTGTCCACGCAATCTCCCTTCCCAGGCGCTGCGTCTTGTAAGAGGCACATGAGTCCCTTTGGCAGTGCTCAGCTTTAGCTGTACCCTCCTGGTTCCAAAGAAATCCTGACAGCAGCAATTAAGAGCTCATGGGGGGGAGGCGAAAGCTTTTTCCAGTTTCACAAGGCCACAATAGGTCTGACTGCAAGGGAATAGCGGTTATTTTCCTCCCATATCACAGGTGTAGGGAGGGAAGTGAGAAAAGTCAAAATTGCTTTAAAAGGGTCTGTCTGCGTACCGTGGACTCCTCTGGTTCCACCAACCTCTATGCTATAAGCTCAGGATTATCAGCAGATAGTTCTCATATCATCTCCTGCTCCAGTGAAAAGGGAGGCAGCTTCTGCAGGGGAAAATCTGCACAGCAAAGAATTTGCATCAGGGAAGCTGAAGCATGAGGAAAGCTGGGAGCAGACTGTGGGGAGTTGTCCTGTTGGCAGCGCTTGCTCGTATCCAGAGCCTGCGTTAGGTGTCAAAGCCACAGGAGGGCCGTGTCCACGACCAGGACAAGTCTTGCGACTCCTCTTGCAAGCTTGTTCGTGGGAAGGTTGGTGCAGAACGGAGGTGTCGCTCATCTCTGCAAGGTCCTGTCATCTCATTATAGATGGAGGGTTTGGCACCGTGTGGTAGAAACTGTGCTTTGGATGTCACAGATGAGCCAAGAATTAAGATGAATATAGAACATGCCAGAGCCCAAGAGAGATTTCTGCAGTATTTTCATAATTTCAAATAATAGGGAAATTTGTAAAACTCTGGGTAGATCATGGATAGAATAACAGGCTAAATTTGTCAGATGAATAATTTACAAGAAGTGATTGGCCCCTCTCCAAGGGAGACAAGCGCGGCCTGATCTGGGCTGAGCAGCCTCGTGGTTGTCCTTGGCTGGGAGCCGCTCTCTTTCCTGCCGCACTGTCACTGCTCCTGTGCTACAAGTTGCTCTCAGACAAGGTGCCTGCCCTCGGGTTACTGTTTTCCATGGCTGCAGGATTTTCTGCAAAGCTCAAGGTCCCCACAAAGCCGAGATACAGCCCTGGAGTGGGCGTTTTGTCCTCTCGTTGCAGCGCGCTCCTCTGCGGGGCCCGGCCCTGCGTGTCCGTGGGCGTAAGCTGGCTCAGGGCATGCGGACCAAGCTGGCCCTGGCCCCTTCCTGCTCTCCAGGCACATCCCTGTCTCCTGGCCTTGGCTCCTGCAGCCTGCCCGCTCCGAGCAGATGGGGGAATAGAGACATCTTGGCATTGGGGATGGAAGGGAGAGGAGCGCGTGCGAAGTCCCAGCGCTGGGACGAGGTGGCAGCAGGCGGCCGGCAGCCAATTAACACGCTCATGTGCATGAATCAGGATCAGCAATTCCAGGTAAACTCCCCGGGAGCGGCTAACAGAGCCTCCCGCCCGCCCAGGGAGCCAAGCGGCGAGCAGAGGGCTCCAAGAACGCCAGCACGTTCCTGCTGCGACTCCGAAATGCCTCATTTCCCAGCGCCAGCCTGGCCCTGTTCTGTCTCCTGTTCCTGCAGAGCTGGAACGCTGCCTGTGGAGCGTGGTGCCGGCAGCGCCCGTCCCTGCGAGGCTCCGGCCTGACTTTGCCCTGGCAGTGCCCGTCACCCGGCCCTGCGGCAGGGAAGGGGACCCACGTGCGTCCTGGGGCGCTGTGTGGACGTGCCGGTGGCACTGCAGAAATGCCCTTTTGGGGAGGGGGTTTCACTCTGGTTTCCTTCTGCAGTTGGTGTCCGCACCAGGGTCTTTGATGCATCACCAGCATTAGCTACATCATCTCCTTACTGCATGTGGATATGGAGGAGGACCCATGCGTTGGCTACGAGGTAGGAACAGCTTTTCCTCCGTGGAAGAGAAAGTATCACTTCAATGCAGGAGGCCAAAACACAAGCACAGGAGAGCTTTGCAGCAGGAGGATGGTGTTGGCAAAAGGGGAAGGGGCACTTGGCACCCACCTACTGCCAGCCAAGGACCCGGCACAATCCTGGGCTCTGCTGGGCACCTTCCCAACTGGCAGTGGCTTCCCTGGAGGAGACACACTTGTTTTGTGGGGTTTCTTGTGGCCATGGCTGGAGAGATGATCAGAGGAGAGGCACGGCTGGAAAAAGCAGGGCTGGGTTATGTAGGAAGGAGAAGCATCTCTTAGTCATCCCCCTGCTATGAGAAGCCCCTGGCCCCAGCTCAGGGTGCTGATGGAGCCATCCTGGGCTGCAGATGTAACTGGCTTATGGTCTGAGGCCACTGTTATGAGGACACAGAAAAGCTAGGAAAGCAGCTTTTCCAGGTCTCCACCATGATGCATTTAGAGCCCTGCCACCCAGAATTCTCCTGTCACTCCATAGCAGAGATTCAGCACAGGAGGCTGCCCTTTTGTGACAAATTTTACCCTAATTCTTGTGAAGAGGGCAAAGCAGTTCATCCTCCATCACTTTGCAGTGATGGCAACAGCTCCTGCTCCATGAAGCTGGGCTGAGGCTGGGATTTGTCTCAGGTTCATGGACAGCTGCTTGCACTTGAAGGGAACCAAGGCAAGAAGTCTAGGTGTTAATCAAGAAACATCAGCCACGGAAGCTGGTGGTTTCTGCAGCTTGTATCGTCAAGGACCTTTGTGGAGTGAGGCATCTCTGTAGGGTCTCGGACACCTGGGTCTAGGGCTTTTGTTGTTCTTACT